CGATGAAAGTTGTTTTATCAGCGATATATTTTTCTTCTTTCGGCTGCTGCACAACGTGTCACGGTTCGAGCGAGCGTTCAGGACGACTCTCAGCCACTACCACGCCAAACCTGAGCTCCACATCTGTCAAAACCCAGCTGGAGCCATTCTGGTTGAACTGGGTGGACTCCAAACATTAACTAGTTGTAAATCCACTGAGTCTTAGATTAAAATCCATCCAGTGGGCCATTAGATATTTTGCTAACAGACGACAGTAAATAAGGAGCTCTGCAGGTATTTGTTGGTTTAACAAGAATGCATTGCAGCAGATGTGCCTCAGTAACATCTTATTTTATTAATCTACTTAAACGTGAACAGACGCCCTCAGAGATTATTCTGCTTTTAATCTGGAAAATCCACGTTTTATTCTTCTTTATTTAGCAGTTTGTTCCTCGAGGCCGGTCTTAGCCCGTGACCCGGATGTTTTGTTGTTCCTCTCCGAGACGAGTTCCTTGGGCAGAAGAGAAACCTCTTCCAGGAAAAGTGTTTGTTGTGTTGGAGGATTTAACAACAACAACAACAACAATCCCATTAAGTGTTGGTGAAGCTGCTGCGCTGAGGACGGGAACACGTGTCGGTGGGAAGAAAACATCTGCCCTATCAGTCGCTGCCATCGAGCAGAGGATTAACGGAGGAGCCAGATGCTGCCGATAAAAGAAACGCCGAGCAGCTCGGAGGAAGTTCGGCTCGTTCAGGAAACGTCGCTCGAGCTTCGTTCACCAGAAAGAAATGGAACTTAAAGAGAGAGACGACCTCGTCTTGTAAACACTTAAAGTTCATACATGAAGAGACGAACAGCTGGAACGATAACCAAAGAGACCAGAACATCTGCCAAGAGACCAGAGGTCAAAGGTCATTGGTGTCAGGTCTCACCACTGGAGACAAAGTGGACTTAATGGAAGAGGACAGAGGACACACCAGATCATGCAGACTGTTGGACCTGAACACCTGAGGACAGGTGGACCAGATCACCTGAAGACAGGTGGACCAGAACACCTGAGGACAGGTGAACCAGATCACCTGAGGACAGGTGGACCAGAACACCTGAGGACAGGTGGACCAGATCACCTGAGGACAGGTGGACCAGAACACCTGAGGACAGGTGGACCAGATCACCTGAGGACAGGTGGACCAGAACACCTGAGGACAGGTGGACCAGATCACCTGAAGACAGGTGGACCAGAACACCTGAAGACAGGTGGACCAGATCACCTGAAGACAGGTGGACCAGAACACCTGAAGACAGGTGGACCAGATCACCTGAAGACAGGTGGACCAGAACACCTGAGGACAGGTGGACCAGATCACCTGAGGACAGGTGGACCAGATCACCTGAGGACAGGTGGACCAGAACACCTGAGGACAGGTGGACCTGATCACCTGCTGAGTATAGAAGTTAAAGAACAAAACATATTTATATGAAACAGATTCTTTCACGCAGTTTCTTATTTTCTTGTTTAAATAAAAATAAAAACGTTCATTTGTCCTTTCACCAAAATAAAGATAATGAATTTACCCATAAATGTAACAGTCTCATTTTCAGTGAATTCACTTAGCTGGACTGTCCACCCCACACGCGCGCGCACAGTGTCACGCGCTAACACGCGCCTCGTGCTGAGACGTGGACGCAGGCAGCGCCATGATGCTAATTAGCATAAAACATTTTAAATCACGGTCCTAAACATCAACCACTTTATAAAAACACTCAACTTCTAGACGAAAATACTCAAAAACTCAACAGAAAATGTTTTACGAACATTTTAAACACAAAAATTATATAATTACCTTCAAGAAGATAATTTACTCTGACTCGATTTATTTCAGGCGCCTTCAAGCCCCGCAGCCATGACTAATCGATCACAGAGGTCCATCAGAACTCAGCAAGTCGATCACAGATAAATAGCTCCAAACAGGAAAATCCTTCACCTGAAATCTATTTTAAACATTTTTAACAATGAATTTGCCCTTTATCTAAATTGAACCAACTATACTTTGAAATAAATTTCAATGCATCACATGAAAAGGTGGAGCAGAACACCTGAGGACAGGTGGAAGTCTCAGAACATTAGTCCATTTTGTCGGGCCTTTTGTGGAGAAATACTGAACGCTGTTTAGTTTTTATATTTTCTTTAAAATTAATGCCGTCACTGTGTTTACGCTGCAATGCACTCTGGGTAAATTACAAAAACAGGTTAGGTTGAAAACAACAAAGTCCATGCTCAATAATCCAGGTATACAATCCAACATTTTTCAGTCAGGTCATCTGGACAGTTTTTTTTTCTTGAGCTGAAACGTTTCACATTCCATCCAGAAGGCTTCATCAGTCAAGGAAACACACATCAAAACTGATTCTTCCTCCAACAGCATAAGGGCTAATAAAAATATGGCTTTATTGTCAAACTGTAAAACTTTTTAGCCTTAAATACTGTTTTAGTCTCCACTGCAACCTGTGGACTTCATCACCCATAATGCATTGCTTCAGTAAAATAATGGAGACGACCTTAAGTTTTTTTAAAGTAATAAACGTACAATTTTAAAACTAGAGAAATTACATTTCTTGCGAAAATGCAGTGTGAAAGCTTATTGCAGAAGAATTTGAAATTGAACTGAAATGAAAGAACAAACCTAAATTAGCAGAAAGAACACGTATTTGCTGATTTAGGTTTAAATGCACAGAAATGAGCACAAAAAACAGGGAATCAGCTAAAAAAGCTAACATTTGTAAAAACATCTAAAAAGTAGCCACAAAGGCAGAAAGAAGCTTAAACTACGAAAAGTAGAAAGACATGAAAAAGCTAAAATTTGCCTAAAACCAACTAAATAGTAGCTGAAATAGCAGAAAAAGCTTAAACTGAAAAAAGCTGAAAGGAGCATGACAAGCTGAAATTAGCTGAAAGAAGTTGGAAGAATCACAAAAATGTTCTAGTTAGCAGAAACAAACTGAAAGGAGAAAAAAACAGCTACAAAAAACAAACAGCTGAAGTTAGCTGAAAACAAGTTTAAATTTGCAGAAGGAGCTGAAAGAAGCTGAAGCAGAACAAAATGTGAAAGGAGCAGTAAAAGGTTGTAAACACATCTAAAGATCTGAAGGATGGAAAATGAGCTCAATTCATTTTCTATGAGGAAAAAAAAGACAGAAAAGGCTAAATAATTCAAACAGCTAAAGTTGCATCAATAGCAAAAGTCACAGCAGGACTGTCCTGAAAGAGCCGAACGTTTTGATTCATGATTTGTTGGAATAGTTTGAAAACTGCTGAACGAGAACGACGCTGAGAAACAGACGTTAGAAAACTGGACCGTCGTGCGAACGCTTCGTGAAGCATCGTGAAGCTTCGTGAACGCTTCGTGAAGCTTCGTGAAAGCTTCGTGAACGCTTCGTGAAGCTTCGCGAACGCTTCGTGAACGCTTCATGAAGCTTCGTGAAGCTTCGTGAACGCTTCGTGAACGCTTCATGAAGCTTCGTGAAAGCTTCGTGAAAGCTTCGTGAACGCTTCGTGAAC